TACAAGGAAGAACTTATTACCCGACCGAAAAAAGATATATACATGTGTAGGAAACAATGAGACGTGTGAACTCATCGAATCTTCTTATTTTACAGACTTCGACCCGGAATAATTACCGGAGGGGATATGATTTGAATTTTAGCCAGAATCAGAGAATCTATCATGCATTCCATTTCCAAACACGAGGAGGCGCTGCCTCAAATGAGCGAGATCCAAATAGATTTCTGTTTCGGCCATGATTGCAAGCTGCAATTTGTTCTTCTAAAACAAGTTGGGAGTTGTAAAATATCCCATGTCCGATTGTTTCTTCTTCACTAGACTCGATAAAGCCAGAGAGTACTTGCAGGATGCTTACCAGCCCTTTCCTGTTTGGTACAAATGGAAAAAAATACATACTCAAACTTTTATGTTCAGAACCATTAGCGTTGTGCGAATCGAGATCAGAACAAATTCCCGCCACTCCCAACGGAGTGTACTTCAAGTATCAAAGAAACCGCTGTTTATTCTTCCAACGAGGAGATGAAATGCTCAGCGGTAGAAATTTGGTCCGGCTCGAAGAAAAGAAAAAGTTACGTGTAAAAAGTGAACTGTTGAGAACCACTCACCCACGAAAACCACGGTGTCTTCAATTCTCAGCCATGGGTACGGATTCACTTTGGATAAAGTCTTGGCCACACCCATTAAAGTAAAGGTAGCGATAACTGGATCGTATTGCATTCCTCCTTGTTGTTTTGCAACAGATTTGTTTTATTTTATTTATTTTTTGAATAACTGGCATTTTAAGACAATAGTTTACGTTCAAAGTAACAAGCAAGAGAAGCTCTCCAACTGATGAGGATGAGGATCAGAGAGGCCCCCCCTAAAACAAAATAACTTGTGTTAAATGTTACCCATGGCTTCCCCTCAACCCAGTCAGCATTCTCTACTCAGAAATGAATCATGGTGAAACTAACCTTGCCACGCGAAATTAGTCTCTCTCTTGCCAGAATGTACTGAATTCACTCTGCGCCAATACGTCTTTATTCAAATAATTATCACTGTGAAAGGGTTTACACACTTTATTATGAGGAGGAACAGCTCAAGTTTTATATGTTCCTCCTTCCGCGCGTGAATTGCTCTTCGCGTGCGCCTCGGACTTCTATCAGCTCGACTGAAGTGCATAAAATTACGCTTAATCTACAGGCTAATCAGGAGCTTATGAGCTTTCACGCCGTGATATTCGAAGGATTTTACGAAGATTGGATATGGCTTCACTGCAGATTCCTTCTTCGTTTTCACAGCCTAAACTAACTTTATACAAATAAGACGTCAAAGACTGGAATTAAAAAAAAAAAGTTATATTTTAGACAGATCTGACCAAACAATACGATAAGTTTGAATCCATTGCTCTATTACCTTGTTTGAGTTTGTAAACTAATTTTCTACTAATCTATAACGGCTTCGTAGCTTAAATGTAAATCGTATGCCTTGTCAGTGCACCAAGATGTACCCCATGGCTCTGATGTGCTTGTTTCCGTTATCAGGCTTGTGTGTTGCTACATTTCCGCACGAATTATCTCCTCCTGTACCAAACCCGATTCTAGAATCGCAAGTGAAGCAGTCATTTTCCTGGTTAGCAATGACGCCGATTCTTGCTTCTGAGGGACCACCTTTAACATTGAACCCTTCCTTGTTGCAGTTTTGCTGCAAGGAGGCTTGCGAACCGACAACCTTCTTCCACGTGTCTCTACCCAGTGAAGTGGCGCGGTATTTCCCGTCAGCGATCAATGAATACAAAGATTCGGCTGTCTTGTTGATGAAGATGAACCTGAGTTGTTGGCCAATCTTCATACCGAGGCAGATCTTGGAGAAGGGTGTTTTCCAGTAAGTTGGTAGCTTTGTTTCTTGTAAGTCGAAGCCATTCTTGCCAGCAGCATCTTGATAGGTCTCTTTGTCGTTCCAGAAATGGGAATGGTAACGGAAGGTACGCTGAAATTGATATCAAAGGATTTTTTCAATTTAATGTCCCTTATAGCCTGTTTTAGGCTCAGGGTCATTTTAAAAATACGCGTGAGCGACTCTTGGTGGCTCGTCTAGTAAAGACAACTTTTGGCGGGGAACCGCAGCCAATTTTTGCCCACATCCTTTTCAGCTTGCCTATGCTGACCTTTATCCTCAATAAATTTGCAGATTAAATTCTACCTTATTGAAAACAAAATACTTCTGTTTTAGGCTCAAGGTCAAAAAATACGCTTGAGCGATGACTAAAGAAACAGCAGCCATATTTCGCCCATCTACTTTTGCTCTGTATATCCAATGAATTTCTCAGCAACTAATTTTTTACCTTACTGCCATTAATCTTCATGATCGGTGTCCATCCCCCATTTCCGCATCCAAAGTCTCCCATATGACAGAAAACAGAAACTGGCTTCGAGTCTAAGTGCAGGGTAACCTCGCCACTCTTTTTCGACCTACAAAATAAAGAATCTTCTTAAAAGGAGAGATTCGTTTGAAACTTGATGAATGCCATGGCTTTCATATATTTAGTAAATGACTCAAAGTACTTTTCGATTGAGCGATTTCTTTCAAGAGCGAAGCTAATGTGGATGTTTATCATCAAGGTTGCTAAGCTTAGTGCAGTATTATTTTCAAAATTACTATTATTAGTAGTACTGCTATTTTCATATTCTCTAATAAAATTCCGCTCCAGCTTTGTTCTTGTTAGTGATTAACTGACTTACACATTCCGCTCGAAAATTTCTTTACACGTCGAAGCTGAAAAAAGGAAAAGGCATATCAACAGAATAAACCCTTTAACAAAAAAAAGATGACAGAGCGTTTTAAAATGCTCTCAAAGGGGAAATTTACATGTGGAATAGGAAATCACACAACGTTCTTGGTCACTCGTGATTTTGTTGCTTGCATTATCAACCGTGTCTAATGCGCTATATATGAGAATAAAACCAGCGGACCCGTTAATTTAAGCAGTATCCCAGGCCCCTCGCGGCCTCGCTGTTTTTAATTAAGCCGCTCGACACTTCTAATGCACACCATAAGACTGCTATCTATGCAGGCAAACGTTTCCATGTCCATCAAGAAGTTAGCTTGTTTTTTGTTTGAATTCTCGGTAGTTTCTAACAAGACATTTGTCGAAGTTTTTAGCGATTAACTGTAAATCTATATCTCGATATACATTCAAAATGACTAAAATGAAACACGCATAATTCCCACAGGGAATCATGCGTGTTTCATTTTAGTCATTTTGAACTGTATTTCGCTCTACACTCGTGTATTGAGCACTTTCCAACAGCATTTAGTACCATTTCCCACAATCATCTCGATATACATAATTGTTATAAACGAAACTTCTCATTACAGTAGTCTAAACAGACAGGAACAGTACAAAACCCAGCTTAAGAAATACAGCAGGTAAAATGTTACCCGAACGGCAGATATTTCCATCTCCATAGTATCCTTGTTTGCATGTACAGTTGTACGATCCCTTAGTATTGTTGCACACAGCATCAGCACTGCAGTTCTGTTTTCCTGTAGCACACTCATCGATATCTGAAAAGACTCTCCTTTAATTAGAACGTCGTCACTGCAATTAATTTTAAAACTAATGCTGATTTAAAAATAAAGTGCAAACAACAATTGGAGACCCACGTTTGATCCGACGTCTTGAGAGCCTTGCAATTTTGTCGCAGTTCTCTCGAACATGCAAAAGTACCATCAACCCATTAAGGAACTGATTATTGAGCGCGATTATAATACACTTTTAATTTACTTCTGTAAAATGTAAGGTAACCGATTCAATAGGAAAACCTTCCCCTCCCCCCCTTTTTTTAACACCAACAAATGGAGTCGATAACTTTCGTACTTAAGGATGATTCTAATCTGTTATTTCTCTCTAATTGGCGACCAATAACTTTTTTTTTTACGTTACGGTATAATCTAGCCGACAGAAAAACACTACAATTTCACTATCTCTACCACTGTATTAAACCCTATGACTAATTTGAAGGTTTTTAGGGTTGAAGTTTGTTTCTTTAGTTTTCATTCCCTTGTTCGTCAATTAGAATAACATTTTTGGTCACTTTTACCTTCGCAAGTCCGTCCATCTCCAGAATATCCTGGTTTACACGTACAGTTGTAGGAACCCTTAATATTGTTGCACACAGCATCAGCACTGCAATCGGATGTTCCTTCGATACACTCGTTTATGTCTGCAACATTCAACCTCATTGATGTAGAGTACATTAAATTAAAGTACTTGGTTCCAATTTCACTCAAATAATGCATAGAATTCTTGCGAACTGCATCCGCACTGCTGGTTTGTCTTCTTTCAGTTCATCTCTATTAGCCCTCCCATTTTCCGGATATACAAGACCACCCAAAATTGTTTTGTTGGTTCTTTTTTTTTTCTTTTCAAGAGATAATGTAACCCTTAGACTTCTGCCAGTTTATTGATAATTTCTTTGTTTCGCTCCTCCTAAGCTCCATGCATGGAGCTAATACAAAATGATTTTTAAGTCACAGACGGAAATACTGACATCTTCTCAATAAAACTTATAACATGCAGACTTATTTACCTTCATCGCAAGTCCGACCCTTGAATCCAGCGGAACATAAACACTTATCTCTTTTGTCAATAAAACCGCTTAGACAAGTGGAGTTGTTCTTGCAGGGTTTTTTTGCACAAGCACTCTGATGCAAAAATAAAAAAAAATTCCCTTAACGTTTTAGTAAGACCCATATCCCCTGTCCCTTAAGTCTTGCTCCTTCTGGAGATGCAACATTGTGATAAGACTTGTAAAAAGCCTCTCATTCCAAATTACATAGGCTCTTAATTAAAATCAAAACTAAGGGGGAAACAAGAATCATTTTATTATGATATGCAACTAGTATACTCCTGTTTTGTTTTCTGCAAGTAGGCTAAGTACCTTTTAGCGACAACGCACCAAAAATATTTAAATTTGAAAGTCTGGACATTTATAGTTAAAAATTGTGCTTTCATTTCAGCCTTCAACAAATTAAAGAAACCTACGCTGCACTTAGTATTAACTTATCATAGCTGGGCAAGAGTCCACCTGACGTTGACTATATGTGGGCCTCTTACGTCAAAATATGAACACACACCATGGAGACCAATTTTCTCCGACTCAAATTCTCTTTTTTCGAAATTGGCAAACATTTCACAATCGATCCTTTACCAATAAGAATATAGATGAAAAGCAATGACAAATGTATTTATAATAATTAAAGCGATGATTTCATGCTTGTGATCATGGGTGTAATTGCTCTGATATCATAACATTTTTGAATGAACTCCTCAGCTGGATTATAAAAAAAGGTTTTGTCCTTCCTCGAATCTTTTAGTCTGCTTCGTGCCCTGAGTAACTGCATTTTCCTTCTGTTTCTCAACATCTTTCTTGAAACAGTACAACTCAAGTGATGCAACCAAGGTGTAAATCGTCCTTACCTCAAAGAAATAGTGATGCGAACTCTTTTTTTCTTTGTATTCATTGGGGTTGCTGTACTTATCAGAAGACAGCAACTCACACCACAAATCACCTTCAGCAGCCAAGTTCACGGAAACACACAGAGGATGCTGAAGGCATCTAAATGTGCATTCAAAGTCGTCGTATACCATAATTTCGTCAAGCTCAGGTACATCGAGATAGCGAAACTTGTCCACCGAGAGCAGACTTTGCCTGGATATCTGTGATGAAGTAGGTAGTATGTTGTCGGGGTCTAAACTTGCTGCTCCTGTCGGTGGAGAGAACGCTTACCATTTGTCTTTGTCGAGAGATCTGTTTATGAACCTTTTATGAATAAACTTCGAATTATTTAAACTTACCGTGAGTGATAATTTTTGATACTAATTTTCATAACTATTTTCTAGTACACTTCCTTTTTCTTTTTTCTTAAACCTCTTTGTTTGTCCTGCGGGCGACTATATCTATTGCCACCAGTGGATGACTTGGGTGATGCAAGTGTTGATTACCAGAGATAAACGCACAAAACTGTCTTCAAATAGGACATTTACGATCTCAAACTCGCTAGTATACATTCAAGTTGAAGAAAATTAGAAGTGCTGCTTTTGCCCAGCCAGGCCGTGAGTTCTAAATTTAGTGAAGTGCAATGAATTGCTAAGTTTCCAAACATTTTGTTTTTCTTGTGGACTGTGGACGTCATTGACGATTTGTTAGAGAAAAAGTTCACAACAAGTGGGCGATAACCATTGCAGGAGACTCAAAGAATAGATAGGGTATAATTCAAGGATGAAAGCTGCATTCACACGGCCATATTTTATTTTCATACCTGGGAGTGCAATACCAAACAAAAAAAAAAAACTTGATTGACTTGGTTGATGAACTGGATAACGATGAACCAGTCTAGTAAAGTAAAATTTACATACGAAAGCAACGAAAATCATTTGCAATCTACATTAAATGACACTCACAAAGCTCAATCGGTTACGCAGTTTTAATAAGTTAAAGAGAGTGCATAGCTACGATTTAACTAATACTATTGTGAAAATGAAAAACAAAACAAACCTCTTTAACAACCAACTGGCGTCAAACATTAAGATCCAGTCTTTCTAAAAGCGCTCCGGGGTATTTTGTTTAAAAAAATCGATTTCTTTCAAAGTTTTTTCATGAATCTGTCTTGATCTAAAAATACTCGTTAGCTGAGTGATAGACAAACAATAGGTCGCTGAAAGAGCTATCAGACAACTTTCGGCGGCACTATTTTTCTAGATAAGGATGGATATTTTTCTCTCTAAATGCTGTTTTAAGGCATCATCAAACACAAAAAAGCTTCAATGTGCTAAATTCAAGCGTCAACCATCGTTTTAAGACGTAAATCTCTTATGTTATTGAGTCTGCTTTCTGTGCACTGTTAGGTGGAATTTTCGGCTGGGCTAGAAGTTCGCCAAAGCCACAACATATTTTTACCTTTCCATATTCCACCACCTAACTAATAAAATAACACTCCAATTGATTTATTTAGGGCATTTTTGTAACTATAGTATTTTAAAGGCGATTTCATGGGTTATAAACACAGCAGATGGGTCCTTCGAACAAATTAATTCTTGTCGCGCGCTACCCCATAAGATTGCAGGTTTCTCAAAGTTAAAATGACTACACTCTAAATACCATTATTAGGAACACTTCCCAAAAATTCCCCAAACAAGAGCTGTGCAAAAATACGACAACGGCAAACTTATGCCATTTTTGGTGATCGGCGCTGTTAAAAGAAAAAGATATCGGCGCTCGGAAAATAAAAAACAAATATTTTGCAATAATTCGAAAAAACAAGGCGGTTTCGACTACTTTAAGACTAAGGCAGATTCATGGGCAAATGTGAAAGAAATCGATTTCTTAACCGAAATTTACTAGACCGCTTCCTAGAGAGACTGCAATTGATTGAGAGGGACTAATTTCCCCCTCACTAACCTCCGCTCAGAAATGAGTAATGGTGAAACTAACCTCGCGACGACACAAGTGCAGACATCATGAGGCACAAAACTAAAAGAACACAGACAAAGATCAAATTCTTCATGGCGCGGAACCCTCTGGAGACCGACTTCCCGAAAGACATACAAATTGATGCCTAAATTATCTATCAATTATTTTTTTTAACTTCCTGACTACCTTTTAACCAATGAAATCTGAGTATTGCTGGTAGTTAAGAGGGTCACTATATCTGGTAATCAATCATAGAGCCCTATGATTGGTTACAAGCCTTGTGCGTCAATCAAGAACATAGTACAGTTTCGCAATCTTTTCTGTAATTCCTTTGTCTGAAAAAACTCCATTACCAGATAAGCATGTGTTTCTCCCGGCCGGTTCTTGTTCCCATTTCTATCAACTTTGTGCCCTAGATGAAATGACTGCATCTTGAGGCAACTAGATTTGCGCTGCGCGCATCTAAGCATGTAAAATGTAACTGTCCCAAAATGTCCCGCTCTTTCTACGCGCTGCGACCAGTTTCATAAACACCAGTTACATATCAAGTTTTTCTGTTTCATTTTATTGAATCGCTATGTCCTGTTGACACTCTAATGTTTACTTCATATACAATAATTGCGGGACTGCGCTTAGCTGAGTACTACGTGGTAATGATACGAGTAATTTCGTGCAAAATCAATACATTTGAATACAACATGGCAAAATTTTGATCTTCCCGATGTTCAGATATGTAACAGAGCTTGTTGAAAAATAAAATGACCAAAACTTGAGACAGAGAAAGAGAGAGAAAGAGAGAGAGAAACGAAAACCATTCGCAATTTCGAATATGAAATTCTCGTAAATTTACTCATAAAACCATCTGCCCAACTATCTTTCTATTCACCTATAATTTATTTGATCAAGCAGTTTAAAGAAGATTTTAGATATATGAAAATTTCACATATTTGCACTGTGGTGGAGAGATGAAATTAGGAGATCCTCGCAGCTAAGAACACTAGTGAAACTATTTACACTACTGTCATTATTTCAGTTTAAAGAGGTGTTAACTATCTTTGAACAGTTTACTCCTGTGGAGACCAAAAACAAAACTCTCTTTAAACAAGTCAAAAATGTTAATTTTTTTATTTATATTTGTCTTAAGCTTCTTGACGAGTCAATTAATTATTAATCGAATTGACATAAAAGCGGTTTGAAAATCGATCGACTTCCACTAATTCCTAGCAGGAAACTCGACGGAGAACAAAAATGTTCCACCCTTATTGGACTAAAATCATCCTCCGCCTCGCAATAAATTGAATGAAGACCAGACCACCTAGCGCATTTTACGATAGTTTGTTTCGAATATTTTAGAAGCCTTTACTATCAATCTATAGGTCTGCATCACATGACAAACTGGCATGGCAAAAGATACCAAAATTTTAGGTTGGTCACGATCAAGATCATCAAAGTTATAAGCTAAAATTGGAAGTGCTGGAAGTGAATTTATGCACTGCACTATCAATTTGTCTTTGTATACATTGACTTTAATTTTACATAAAGGCCTAATAATACATTCATCAGGTGGGCTATGATGAATTATCTCGACGTTGTGATATGAGGTGGCCAAACTAACAAGTTTTTACCGTTTCCGTTGTCTGGCGACTGTGTTTGAGTTTATTTCGATGTAAATCAGTCCGAGTATCATAAATCAAAGAGGCCAGGTCACTTTCTACCTTTCAAAAATAACCCCAAGCTTCGACAAAAATAATTTGGAGGATAACGAGAATTTTGTCTGAAAGTGGTTAAAAAAACAAACCTAATTTTTAATAGTGTAGTTTGATCGTCCGGGTGAATCTAGTCCTTAAAAGGACTGTTGTCAGTAATGGTGACTGACGTTTCGACAACCTGAGCGAAAGTCATAATCGGAGTCATGTGAAAGGTTGCTGTCAGTCGACTGAGTGTAGTCCTTCTGAGGACTACACTCACCCGGACGGTCAAACTACACTGTTACATTTAACCCACGGGCTCAAAAATAATTTTATCGGTTAAATTTTATCGGTTAAATAATCAAACATTGATAAAACAACTTTTTAAAAATCAATCTCACGAGGAGAAAATTACGAGGCGACTTAAATTCATTTTGAAATTTCCTAATCTTCTCACAGTGGTACAATTGGTATATGCCAAATTTTCTCATTCTCCTTCTCCTTCTTTATCTCCCCATTAAACTACATTCAAAGTCATCATATACCATAATTTCGTCAAGCTTAGGTACATCGAGATAACGAAACTTTTCGAACGAGAGCAGACTTTCCCTAGATGTGTGCAAGGAGGTAACTGTTATGTAGTCGGGGTCTAAACTGGCTGCTCCTGTCGGTTGAGAGAACGCGCACTTTTCGTTTTGTTTTGTTTTGTTTGTATGTTTTTTTTCGAAATAGTTTACTAATAAAAATACTTACTTTTAGGAATTTGTGACCAACAATAGATCAAAATAGGTACTTATTTTGCCAAGAAAAAAAAAAGCTATAAAAATAAAAACCGAAATAGGTAAAAGGAAGCTAGTTAGATCCTACCAAGGTATTTTTCAACCAACAGCTTTTGATAGATCCGAATATTTTAAAATTTTGAAGGTGATAATATTTTATACAAATTTTTTGGCCAGTTTACTTCCTTTGCTTCCTTTAAAACTCTTTGTTTGTCTTGTAGTCGATGGTATCTATTGCCACTAGTGGGAGACTTAAGTGATGCAAGCGCTGATTTCCAGAGACAAACAGACTAAAACAATGAAAGCCATCTGCAATCTTCATCAAATGAACCTTACAAAGTTTAATCGGTTTCGCAGTTTAGTAAATCTAAGGATGTACGAAGCCACGATCAAACCAATACTATTGTGAAGATGAAAAACAAAAGAAACCTCTTTAACTATCAGCTAGCATCAAACATTAAGACACAGTCTCTAAGAGTCAACTTTCGGCAGCACTATTATTCTAGATGAGGATGGAGAATTTCTCTCCTAAATTCTGTTATTTATGGCATCTTCAAGCATAAAAAGCTTCATTGTGCTAAATTAAAGTGTCAACCACAGTTTTAGGAAGTAAACTTCGCATATAATTGGTTCTGCTTTTAGTGCATTATTGGTTGAAATTTTCGAAAATGTGCAAAATATGTTGGCCGGCTATGCTAGAAGTTCATCGAAACCACAACATACCTTTATATTTCAAAACTCCTCTACCTAAATGACAAAAATAACACTCCACCTGATTTATTTTGGGCATTTTCGAAACTATACTATTTACTAGCGATTTCATCGGTTATAAACTCCTTTGAATAAATTATTCTTGTCGAGCACTAGCTCGTAAGATTGCAGCTTTTTTCCAATTTAAAAAGACCGCACTTTAAATACCATTATTTATTTTACTCATTGACACTAAGATATACTTTGGATTAACTTGGCTATTTCAAATCTTTCCAGACTATTGAATTCCCTCTTTTTTTCTCTTTAACTGAGTAATGAATAAACAAGAGGTCGCTTATAGAGCGAAGAACCACCTTCGGCGGCGGTATTTTTTCCTTGATGGGAAAGGAGATTTTCTCTCTCTCATGGCATCTTCAAGCATAACGAAGCTTCAAATTATTTAATTCAGGCGTCAAACCTAGGTTGTAGAAGTGAATTTCGTACATAATTGAGTCTATTTTTTGTGCATTATTGGGTGGAATTTCGAAATTTTGCATAATATGTTGGCCGGCTGTGCTTGAACTTCGTCAAAACAACAACATATCTTTATATTTCCATACTCGTCTACCTAACTTTTGTTAGCCTGAATAAATATATTACTTTTGTTAACCTGAATAAAGATATTATGGGAAAGGAGTTGGAATTTTGTGTTCAGCCGAGATTAAAAGTTGCATGTTTACGATCATGGCCGCGGTAAAGACAAAATAAGTGTCAAGCTGAAAAAAATTATTTTCAATGTAAAAAAACGGTAAAATTTGAAAACTTATGTAACTTGTTCTTAAATAGGATCCAACTAAATATGCGAACCAAACAAATTCCTCAACACGAGCTTTCCAAAAATGCGAGCACGACAATTTCTGCCATTTTTAATGATCGGCGCTTTTAGAAATGGGCCTTTGAGCGCCGGAGCGATTTTCGCTCTGGAAAGAAGAAAAACTGTATTAAATCGAAAAAACAAGATGGTTTCTATTACTTTGAGACTAAGAAAAATTCGTTGAAATAAATCGATAATTTTAACCGAAATGCCTGAACCACTTTTTCGAGAGACTACATCTCAAATACGGTTGAGAGAGAATAATTTCCACATCACTAACCCCGCTCAGTTATCGGTAATAGATAAACTAACCTTGCGAAGACACAAGTACAGACATCATGAGACACAGGACTAACAGAATACAGATAAAGATCAAATTCTTCATGGCGCTGAACCCTCTCGATACCAACTTCCCGAGAAACATAAACTGATGGCAAAATTCGATCTTATAATTATTATTATTTAGTTTTTTTTAACTTCCTGGCTGCCTTTTAACCGATGAAATCTGATTATTACTGGTAGTTAAGGAGGTCACTATCCCTGGTAACCAATCATAGAGAGCTATTCTGCACCACTTGACCGACGTGGGCCAATTACCGTTGAATATATGTGACACACCCCACACTTGAAATGTAACGCAACATTCACAGGTGTTTGCACATGTTAGACGTACAGACAGTCACGAATTAGACTAAGGAAATAACACACACTACTTTCTTTCTCTCAGGATGTCACACGCCGTGGTTCCTTATTGTATTTCTCCTGCCCTCCATAACAAAAAAAATTGAATCTCGGAGGTAACTAGGCTACCGTTAGCCAAGTAGGAATGTTACAAGTCATTCCGTGCGAAATCGAAGTGAGACCGTCTTAGTGCTGTACGAAAGGACCGAAAGACAACTTATGAAGTAGTAATTAAATGTCCTGGTCTGTCAATAATCTCTACTGAAGCATCTTTTTAAAGCAAACTTTATTAAGCTTTTAGTTTGTTGCTCAAGTCCTGAGTCGCGCCTTTCGA